ATAGCCTTTACACCACGTACAACTAACCAAGGTATTACCCACTTTTAGCTTGTATACTCACCCTTACATAGCCTTTACACCACGTACAACTAACCCATGGTTGAAATAACATTATTTGTTTCCTTTAAAGTCTTTGTTATCTGGTAATCCAGTTAACATTGATACCCAATCTGATGAGGTCATTGGCTCTTTACTATCTGGGCAAAGCCTTGAAGAATTGGCAAAAAGTCCATTTCCGTTCATGGAAATGGATGATCCTTGTTCATTGATATCAGATGACATCAAAGAAGAGTGGGATGGTAAGATTTTAGGATTTTAGTTGGAAGTTAATTTATCCTGATATCACTCTCCATCCTGTTAGAATTATGCTTACCACCATTTTCATTGACAATTTTCATTCTACTGTCTATGAAATAAATTGTGAAGGTATTGTTCCCATGAGTCTTGACTGGGTGTCCTGAGACCTCAGGGGTATATCAATTCAGCTTAAAGAGGCAATCCCATCCTCTCAGGACAGGGGAAACTGGACGAAAATGGTGTCAGCACTATGTGTCAGAGCTAATGATAAAGGCCTCTAGATAGTCTAGCAACTTACAACAGTAGATTGATAATCTATTGATTTTTATTGATTTTTCTGTACTAGTGACTTTGAAAAATACCATATTTGCTCATGTATAATGTAAATCTTTATGTATAAGGCACACTCCTAGTTTCAGCCTAATTTTGTATGACTAGCTCATCAAAGAAAATTTCAGCCAAAAACTAACTTATAGCTGCACTATGATTTGCTCTTAAGATGAGCGTTTAAGCAAAGATTTTTGGTTCTATGATCACTATAAAACTAGCAGTGAAAAAAATTTCAGAAAACTCTCATTTTATAAGGCACACTCTCATTTTTGAAAAGTCTTTATGTCACTTCATAATTCTGAAAGATTGAAAAAGATGCACCTTATACATGTGAGAAAACATGTCAGCCTAGCAGATCATGTTGATTTTTCACTGTCATAAAACAATTTGCATGCTCGTAACTAATGTATTTATTTTGTGGCCAATAGGAAGTCAAGATGATAGTCATGTTGGTGAAGGCAATAACGACAGTGGTAATGAATCAGACAGAGCTGAGTCTGTAGCATCAACTGTCAAATCTGAAGTCAAGAAGCTGAGCAAGACGAGACAAAATAACGAACAGGATATTGCTGCTGAAAATATTGAAAACAGGTTGATAAAGTTTGGGTTTATTCTTTCCTTGTTGTGTTTGTTTGTCAGGTAATAGAAAGCGTTTTTATCATGGATGATTGGTTCATCAATTCGTTAGTCAGTCTTCCATCTGTCTGTCTTTCCATCTGTCTGTCCGTCTGTCCATCAATCAATCCGTCTGTCAATCCATCCATCTGTCTGTCCATCCATCTGCCTGTCATTCCATCCATCCATGCATCCATCCATCTGTCCATCCATGCATGCATCCATCCATCCATTCTTTCATTTCATTCAATCTGTTCATTCATTCATTCAGACTTACCAAGATATCTGAAGATGATGAACATGAAGTGCTTTGTAGACTGAATGCCTGCACCGAAACAATCCAGAAGGACTGTAAGGCTCGAAGGCTCAGAAGAAAACTAATCCTAAGAAAGGTACCTGTCCAATCTTTTGCCAACTTAACCTGATAATCCAGGGTGGAATAACAGTAGTTCACTCATCTTTCACTTCTGTATTATTGGTAACCGCCACCCGTCTAGCTCAGTTGGTAAGAGCGTCGGTCTGTTGTGCGGAAGGTTATTGTTCAAGCCTCGGCCGGACCAACTGAGATGAAGGTGCTACCTTTGTAATTACATCTGAAAATGGTTAAACCTTCACGTGGCTCAGATGATCAAGTTAATGGCGGTCCCGTCCCTAATTAACTAGAGACTTTAACAGAGGACCACAAGTTTATCAGTTGAATTACTGTCAAGTGTTATCCTCTATAAACAAAGTTAATTTATGTTTATTTATTTTAACCTGTAATAGATTGATATTTTATCATTCCAGGTGACCTAGTACTTAATCTTTTCTATATGTTCTTCATCGATACTGTATTATTCTTAGTATTGTACAAATATAGTTGTCGTTGTTGTATAGATATAAATAACCCAGTTTATTACCTTTTTCCAGATTAAAAGAGAAAATAGCCTTCCACTGTTTGACTTGGATGCATTTATCAAAACATCATTGTCATCAACAAAGTGTTATGTCTTCAGAGATGGAGATTTTGYTCCCTTAAAGGTAACAAGAAGGTTATTTTTAGTGCAAGCATTCGTAAATATTGTGCATGTAGCTATGGACGGCGTAAAGAGTTAGATGGTTTGAAATGAGTGAAATGCAGAAGATCCCTTGACCAATAATTCCCAATCTGGCAATCAAAATAAAAAGATTTTTTCTTTGCTTGAGGTTTGAAATCTTTCTGAGGTAGGGATTTAGTTCAAGGTGTCTATGAATGTATTAAATTACTGTATTAGTAATAAGTTTGATTCAACTGATATTCTGTAGAATGATGATGCAGACATGGATGATACTGCTGAAAAGCAGAAAGAACAAGATGGCTACCAGGTACAGACTGGAGGAGAAGAATAACTGAATGATAGGCATGATGATTATAGTGATGATGATGATGATGATAGTGATAATCATAATGACCCATGATGATGATGACCGATTATGATAGTGATAGTAATGTTGACCGACGATGGTGTTTATGTCGATCACCGATGACTGATGATGATGACTGATGATGATAGTGATATCTGATGATGATGACCAATGATGATAGCTGATGATGATGACCGATGATGATGATGATAGCTGATGATGATGACTGATGATGATGACTGATGATGATAGTGATAGCTAATGATGATGACCGATGATGATGTTGATAGCTGATGATGATGACCGATGATGATGATGATAGCTGATGATGATGACCGATGATGATGATAGCTGATGATGATGACAGCTGATGATGATGACCGATGATGATGATAGCTGATGATGATGATAGATGATGATGATAGTTGATTATGATGATAATGATGATGACTGATGATGATAATGATGATAACTGATAATAAAAATGACCAGTGATGCTGATGATGATTTGATTATTGTAATAATTTTACTCGAATAATGATTATTGGCATTTTTTCCAGCAGAAAAATTCCCGCGTTTTTACGCGATACAGTCGTGTACTGGATAGATTTTTGGTAAGAAAAATAAAATTCTTGAAAACCCCTTTTACTAAATACCTTCAATATTATATTTCCTATCAACTAGAAATAAACATTATATTCAAAACTCCCCAAGTCCTAATCCTACTCCAGTCACAGAGCTTAGATTTGACCATGCTTAAGTTTTATCGATACTCAAAGTCAGGGCATGGCTAACTCACAGATCGAATTGGAATTTTGTGTGTTAGATTTGGAGGGGGGAATAATGAAGAACCCGGAAAAAAACCTTGAATCAAGGGAGAGACCTAACAAACTCTACTCACATGTGATGCCAAGTCCAGGAATCTAACCCGAGACCCCAGAGGTGAGAGGTGAGTGTACTACCGCTACACCACCCCCTTGATTCCCTAATGTATGTGATGTTGAGTCCAGGAATCAAACCCGAGACCCCAGAGGGGAGAGGTGAGTGTACTACTACTACACAACCCTTGATTCACTAATGTATGTGATGTTGAGTCCAGGAATCTAACCCGAGACCCCAGAGGGGAGAGGTGAGTGTACTACCACTACACAACCCTTGATTCACTAATGTATGTGATGTTGAGTCCAAGAATCAAACCCGAGACCCCAGAGGTGAGAGGTGAGTGTACTACCGCTACACCACCCTTGATTCTCTATTTCAGTACATAGGGATTATTTAACGATCAGTTCCGTTTTACTACAGGCAGCACCTCAGATGTTGAGAAGAAAAGATCAACAGGCTTCTACATTTCTAAGCCGTCTTGTTGGTGCAGACAGACAGACACTACTTAGACCCATTACCAGTCCCTACACGGCCCGTGTACTCAAGCCATTTATTAGAAGAGACTTTGAAAGTCGACCTCTAAAACTGAGATTACTAGAGGAAATAAAGGCTTATCCTCACAGGTAACATGTGAGATATTTCTCTCTAGAGTAGATTACGTATGACTGTGAAACAGCTCGGTAAAGGAAGTGGCGATGCTCTTTAAACCTATCACAGCGCGCAAGGCTGCTCGTCCAATGAAAATGCTTGGACATGCACCGTCACACTCAGGGCACGGGACATCCGTACAGTGATTTTTTAGAGTCGTACCAACTTTGCTCTATAACAAGAGAACCGGTTCATCATTCTTAGGGTGGGTGGGTTGGGATGTAGAATCCATTACTTTCTGCCCTCTGGGTGCGGCTTATTGAAAGGAGGGTGTACTTCGCTTGAGGGACGATCAATATCATTCTTGGGGTGGAGTGCGTTGTCGATTTGTAGAGTCTTACTTTATTGTTTGTTTTCTAATACTGTTCACCATAGGAATGATTCGTCTTGGAAGGCACCTCCATCGTGTTCCTTAGATTACTGTTACGTTCAACCTTACCACATACCAGCTGTTAATACCATGTGTAGGGAATTCTTCTGGCCCGGGATTGATCGTAAGTGTGACATTCAGTAGTCCTTGTTTTAAGAGCGCAGCACTCTGTCTCACAGAAAACGCATTGAAAGTATCGATCGGAAATAATTCAGTATCGTCTTCTGCGCATGCGAAAAACCAACTTGCTGTTATGAATGACGTCATCGTTATCGAAAACCTTCGTTTTCGCCTGTCCACACTAATAAGATAGAATTCCGCTTTCAAATGTTTCCACTCTGGAGAGTGTGTTCAAATGTACCCATTTTTGATTGTCGTAGTGTTGACACAAGACCAAAACGTTTGGAAAAGTATGCGATTTCAAACTAAAACGCATTAGTATTGAGTGGGCCTGAAATTCATATTTTCCATCGGCCAGGCTTAAAGGATAATTGACGACTCTTAACACTCCAGTGTGTGCGAGCTTAGCCTCACTTCTGAGGTCGGTAAACAAAGGATAACAAAACAAGATGCTCCTGGTTTCGAGCGGGCTAAGCCCGCATACACTGGAGTTTTAAGAGTTGTCAATTATTTCAGGGATAGTTTTCATTGACATTTCGTATCGCATGATAATTATTCTTGTGTCTCTTTAGTTTCAGAATCATTACAGTACCCAGACTTTAGCTGTGTCGTTCTCTACAGGTATGTAGCTACGGATTTAAAAAGAAGACCAAAGACCTCAAGTCTTCAAAATCCACACTTGCTCGTGGTTAGATAAAATTCTTAGAGTTGTGTGTGCTGCTAAAGCGCCACACCTCACCGCTGTGGTTATGGGTTCGACACCCAAACTCAATTCATTTTGTTTCTCCCCTGTGCTACGAGGGTTCTTGTCCAGGTTCTCTGGTTTTTCTCCCTTCGCAAAAATCAGCTTCTAAATTTAAATTCGATCATGGAACTAGGGCCACAGGTTTGTTAGCCACTGGCTATTAAGTGCTACCTTCGTGAAACAATAACAAGGACGTTTTAGAGGAAAACTATGGGATTTCTTATTCCGGGGAACGGAGGACAAAAAATGAAAAAGAGTGAGTCACCGTTTAACTGCTTTGTCACTTGAATTTCAGGAGTCTAGTGATTGGCTTCGCGTTCATGGTCCCTGATGTCAAATACAACGAAGCATACATCTCCTTCATCCTAGTCCACCCCGAGTGGCGTCGAGCAGGGATTGGTACCTACATGTTATATCACTTGATCCAAACATGTATGGGAAAAGACGTTACCTTGCATGTGTCTGTAACCAATCAAGCCATGTTGATGTACCAGAAATTTGGCTTTAAGCCTGAAGAATTTATATTGGACTTTTACGAAAAGTATTTACCTGAGAGTAGTCAGGAATGTCGGCACGCGTTTTTCTTGAGACTCAGAAGGTGACAGAACAAAAATGCGGTGGAAATACAATAAAGATGTGCAAAAATCTCGCAGAACATTCTACGGCGTGAAACTAGGAAAGGTTTGCGCGCGGGATGCCTGTGCACTCCTATTCTTTGCTTGCGCCTCTAGAATGCCACAAATGTAAAATAACTAAAAACGCATTAAAAATATGATATGATTTACGAACGTCTCTTGAAATTATAGAAAATTCTGCGGTGTGGAACTAGGAAAGATTAACTCGATACCTATACACTCTTCTCCTATGCACTTGTTATGATTAGCGAAGTTGGACTTTTTGTTATTGATTGATTGATCATTTAGGACCATACTTCCAGACATCGAGTGCTGAACCGTCGTATGGTAGCGCGAAGCATTTACGGCTACGCCGGAGATTTCGGCCCCGACACCGCTATCCGGGATTTACAGACTGATCAGGAAGCTCGGCCGAAGCCTAAGGGAGAGGTTAGTCGGCCCCTACACCATAGAGGATTAACCCCTTGCTCTGACCAGCAAACCGATATTTCGATCGTAGCGCGGAGGACTAACCTCGCATGGTCAATTCCTTCCATGTGGGATGCGTTTCGAAAAGCTGGCCGGCCACGAATTACATGCGCACTTGCTGGTGTTAATAACCGAAATATTGAGGTTATATTTCCTTTTCCTTGAAATAATTTTGACAAGAGAACATGCATTGAGACAAGGAAAAATTTGAACGTGCAATACCCGCCAAGTATGCGTATAAAAGTTGTCATCAATGATGAAGATGAAATCCACACACAAACTGCTGTTCATATTATATTACTCCAATATAGAGTGGTTATCGCTGGTATGAGTGGGAAACGGATCAGAGAAAAAAAATCTGAAAAGAACGAAAGGTTCAGGTTAAGAATCGAATATTCAGAAAAAGACGAATGGTTCAGGTTAAAAATCGAATAATCAGAAAAAACGAATGGTTCAGGTTAAAAATCGAATAATCAGAAAAAACGAATGGTTCAGGTTAAAAATCGAAAGATCAAAAAGAAAAACACGAATAGTTCAGGTTAAAAATCGAATAACCAGAAAAAAACGAATGGTTCAGGTTAAAAATCTAATTCTCAGGGGAAAAAAAGGTCATATATAGGTGTTCACTGGGTTGACTGTATAATGCATAGGCCTAGTATGTGCAATATTCATCATTCTGGGCATCAAATAAATGGATGACGATCAATATAATGTGTGGTACATGACTCAAAAAAGTATGACCCACCCTCTGTAATGTACAGTTTTAGAGACAGCCCATAAGACCAGTCCCTTCACAAATCAGAGGCCCAACATATATTATGCCCAGGTCAGTAACTACGAGACAAATTTGGTAAATAAAATGCCCTTTAGAATCGCTTGACACTTCTTAATCATGATTGGATCAGTGTTTCATATAGGCGTGTCTAAATGACGGGCAGTTCTATCGGATTCTCCCTTTCTTTTCTTTCTTTTCATTTCTTTTTCGTTCTTTCTTTCTCTTCTATACTTTGTCCTTTTATAATTTCCTTTTCGTTTTTCTTTCATTCTTTGTTCCATTGCTTTCCTTTCCTTTCCTTATCTTTTCTTTTCGTTTCCAGTTTTTTTTTAAAAATATTCCCACTTCATAATACACCATGGGTTCCCTGTGGTCTGCTAAGTCTAGTGCCCAGTCCAGTGCAGAGTCCAGTGTGTATCACTTGGATGATTTTTGAATAAAGAGTTTCCTTTAAAATCCCTCCAAAATGTCGCCTTAAAAACCACTCAAAATGAAAAACGAATCAGCAAGGAAGCGGCTGGCTCGAATACGGTGCCTCTTAGACACCATTAAACGCATGGAACAGGGGAAATCCTTGCCTTTAGCCTTGTGTTATGTCCAAGGTGAAGTAACTTATCAACTCAACAGGGAAATTGTCAATCCTTCTCCAATCCCAATATTTAAATTACCCTCGAAAGATGCGGAGAAGATCGGAGAAATAATCCCCTCTCCTACTATACAAGTGTTTGGTTCTGGAGACGAGTATAACAACAAGCAAGGACGCTGGATGAGGCTGACACAGGTTGGTAAAAACACCTTCAATTTGCACGAAAAATGATGACTTTATGCTGACTAACAATGACTGAAGTCAAGGCTGGCTGGCTCTTGTGTTTTTACTTTAGCATTTAAAATTTCTTTTGCTCTGCAATATTATTAAATTGACTAATTATACATCGTCACTATTCGTTTACTTTAAATAAAAACAACTCGATTTTGTAATTGTACAATATCATTCACTAATTATTGTTTTTAAAAAGCCCCTCTGTGGAAGTCAATAAARTATGCATGTATTCACTAAAGCTTGGCATTGTAAATAACAAATATAGAAAAAATTCATTGTGTACAAGAAATTTAAGCTATTCTGGTAGTCAAAGCTTTGTTAAAGGCATGTTTCCCATTTATTTTGTATTTTTTTGTCTAGCACATTACAGGATATTTTGTTAGTTGTTTTACACTAGAACTTCTTGTTCAAGCAAAGGGCTAGATAAAGGCAAAAGATTTACTTCTTGAGGTTCTTGAGATGGTATAACATGCTGCATGATGATATTGTAGCAATGTTGATGCAATTTAACAGAAACATTTGAACGGCCATCGTTYGTTTATTTGCAATTCTCTTGAAAATAGTTACAAAGCATTGGTAGGTTGATATGGCAACTTGTTATGGAGTACCTGACAAATAGTGCAAGTAAAGTAGGGAAGATAGGGTAGGGGAGGGGGGGGGAGAGTGATTTGAAACCTATTGATGGTTTTCAACCATTCCCAAGAGAATTAAATAGCAAAAGACATGCCGGCCATGTTGGAGGATATAACAAAAGAATTCATTGACAATTCCTTTGTTAAGTTCCTCCAACATGGCAGCCATGAAAACCATCAATTGTGTCCCAGCATCCCGTTTTGAGGAAGTAGCTTTACTTCTATGAATGTAGTTCCCTTGTGCTTTATGGACTAGTCTATATTTATTGGTTACTACCAAAAATGTTTTTGCCATCATAATTAATTAACTTAATTTTGTCATCTGTAGAAATCCTTGAAGTAGTGGTTTTACTAGTAAACATTTCTTATAGTGCAAACTACAAGATTGTTAATTTACTGCCAAAAAATTCTTCGCTTTCCAATAGACTTAATCCACTGTTTTCCCATTTCATACCAGGTGTCATTCCCTAGAGTATCATTTTTTTGTTTAACAGTTGCACATGAGAAGACTAATGAATATGGATACCAACTCAACTCAAACAAAGAATCTTATTCTCAAGAGAATRACATGTGACCTGAAATGGACAAAACATTATGACTGGATTTGGTCCATTACCTGTTGATTGACATTATAAATGTTGCTTTCTTTTAGAAATCGTTGCAAAGGTTTTGCAGTCAATTTAGTACAACATCAAAGAGCATCAAAGAAGGCTGGATTCTTTAYGTTCCATTTGATTCCAAGCAAGGACAAGGGAAAGAATGTTTGACAGCGGTATCTAGTGCGTCAGGAAATAAAGGGAAAAAGAAAACTATTGAAAATAGTGGCTTTAAGAGGTAATTATTTAAATCTACCATTATATTGAAAAACTAAAAAACTAACCATCTTATTGATATATTTGTACTCCATTTTCTGTTTTGACCATTAAGTTTTTCTTTAATAATATTATCGTAGTTGGATAGAAGCAGTRGAGTTATCATACACCCTACGCCTAACAGAGCCTCCGGTAATTGACAAGAATGCCGACAAAGAAGCCATGAAGCAACTCAGCTCCCCACCATCCAACTGGAATCTAGAAGCTGATGAGGAGTTGGCCAAGTTCCTTGCTGAGTACATCAACAAGCAAGAAGCAAGTCTTGGGAATATTAGTCGATACGTGGAAAATATTGATGTGTCCACTAGTTCTGTAAGTACCAGTAATACCAAGTATATTGATTTTAGTATTTACAACACACAACACTCAAATATTGTAATYATTAGAAGAAACTTAAAACATCTGTTATAGACCTCTAGTTAAGTAWTCAAAAGTATGTGATGACCACATWTAATGTATTCGCACACTTCTATCACATATGCATGGGCTTTGTGATGCTAAACAAGCTTATTTGGTWAAACCAGCCAGCTTCGCATCACAATGTGTCAGTTTAAAGCACAGAACTCATGCATAGAAGTATTAGAATACATTAAACTTGGTCATACTTTTGCATGTCATGCTGTAATGTACTACATTTTCTTTTAAGGATGATGAATCTAAAGAGAATTTGACAGATGGAGATCCAGAGACATACTGGGAGTCAGACGGCAGTCAAAGCCGACACTGGATCAGGCTTAGTATCAAACCTGGCACTGTTATAAGGTAATAATGAAGATGATACTAATGATTATGATGATAATGGTGGTCATGGTTGATGATGATGGTRATGGTGATGGTGGTGATGATGAGGATGGCAATCTAGTATGATGATGGAATATTTCATCTCTTTTCAGGCGATTATACATTGGTGTAGATTCCAGGGATGATAACTACATGCCACACAAAGTAGCTGTGTTTGGTGGAGAGACAGGCAATATGAAACTCCTGAATGAAGTCTACATTGACCTGTAAGGGCTTAGTTAATTCACTAATCTTAAATATAGTCATTCCTCCTATTTATTTGGCAAATATATATCATTCTGGAAAATGTCCACCATACCTCTACTCCTGAGAAGACATTTCAATTTCAAAGAGGTGTTGCAGTCCTTGTGAGGATAAAAATKAAAATWAAAATAACATCAGCATCTTCTATATTGGAAAATATTGTGGTATGAGTATTTTATGAACCAAGTAGGTACTGCTTAGCAGAGTTTTGATGGGGTGTGGTGGGGGGGGGGCTAAAATAAAATTATTGGGAGGAAGACCCACAGCCCCCCCCCCTCCTCACTTCATTTCATACTTGTCCCTGGAGGATGTCCATTATTTTCACTAGTTGCCATAGACATTCATTTATTGATAAATTATAAATACTAATACTGTTGTTTTGTGGATTATGCCRTCTTAGGAATTTTACAGGGGATGCCTTGATTTTGGAAGGAATGAYGCAGTATTACCACTTAATTGATATTAAAATAAAAGAATGCAAAGGTAAGTTCAATAAAGTAACCCACATTATGTTAGTTTTCCCCTCAATATCAAATTTTATGAAAAAATGGGAATATGGCCCGACTGAGGGATTGGATTGCCTACCAGTTACATGTAACTGGATCTTGGATTGCACAAATTTTTTTCCAGATTTTTAGCTTTTGAAAGGGCATGGATAATCTTAACATATAGGAAAAACATACCTAACCTTTAAAAACTGAATTATCTTTCTAAATCCTGAATTATTAGCGTTTTTTTATCCTTGGAAAATCCGGAACCGAGCATGGCTGGAATGGACTGGACTTCGGTTTACTGRATTGTGCGGATCGAAAAACGTTTTTACCCTCAATTYGCAGTTGTTATCCTATAATTTTTATTTTAATATTAATAAAACTAATGATTGGATTTCAAAATTTGGTATAAAAAACAAGATAATTTTTTTTCCATTACTGATATAAACATATTGGATCTTGGATCACAAAACGTTTTGTTCCTCATCTGCCCATCCAAAAATAATCCAACACTATTACTTTGGAATGGACTGGACTTTTTACTGAATTGTGTGGATCAAATAAAAACATTTTCTGATTTTGTAGCTTTTATCCTCTAATTTCTTATTTTGATATTCATAAATAGTAATTTAATTTTAAAAATTTTATAAGCTTTAAGCTTTTTTTTATTAAGCTTTTTTATAATCGGAACAAGAATATCTCTAGTTATAAAGTGCCGCAGTCTCAATCCTCTGAATAACAGACAGCATAATGTTCAGCTACCAGAAAAATTGTCTCTCCATGATTCTTTGTCTTTGAGCAGGGGGGGGGGGGGTCCATTTGATCCATTTTATTGATTATGAATAAACTTATTACTTTTAGATGACGGCATTGATACGAGAGTACATGACATAAAGATCGTATCAGCAAGTGAGAAAGAACCAGGGTTGTCTATAGACTTGCTAAATAATGCCCAACTTGTAAGGTACATTACAGTAAAATATAATAAATAATTTGTAATAAATTTGTAATAATATTTTTATCTCATACTCCAATAATTATACAGTATACTTCAGTTCTAAATATCTAAATATCTAATGCGTTTACCACTCCTGGGTGGATGGCTTAATGCCTAACAGGCCTTGTGGCCCAATTGATAAGGCAGCTGCTAGATCCAATTAGAATTTACAAGTTGATTTTTGTGGAGGGAGGAAAAACCGGAGAACCCGGAGGAATAACCCTCGAAGCACAGGAGAGAACCAACAAACAACTCTACTCACATATGACACCRAGACCGGGGGAGCTTGAACTCGGGTCACATTGGTGAGAGGCRGCGCATTAGCAGCGCATGCCACCCGTGCTTCCCCAAGAGTTCTCTGATGCTCAGGGTTATCTAACATGAGATCTCTCCAAAATTTCCCTTGGGTTTGAAAATCACTCGTGGTATAGCAGTGAGAGTGCTTGCTTTTCACTTTTCACACAAGGCGACCTTGGTTCGAGTCCCTTTGGGATCAAGGTTGTGTGTGAGTACAGTTGTTTGTTGGTGCTCTCCTGTACTTGGGTTTTTTTCCCTCTTGTCTGGTTTTTCCTCCCTCCTCAAAAATTGACTTCTAAATTCTTATATGATCTATCGGTTGCCTTATCAAGTGGGTTGCGTTCACGATGGATTGGTTAATACAATCAGATTTTGGATTCTACAGATTACATTCTGTCATCACCTTTTTTCTGAAATCATCAAACCCATTGCCTGCTCTCCCTCTTACCTACTATTGCCCAGTCTAATTATGATTTATAATCTAAAAAATAGTTTATTGATTTTGACAGATTTCCAAAATTAGATGCTGTGGAAGTTCCAGTACTTTATAGAAGAGCACAGATATTATTAAGGTACAGTAAGTGCTACAAGCTGGAAATATTATTTTTATCATTGGACTCTCTGTGGTAGCCATCTATTAATAGCCAGCTTAGCTCAGTAGGTTAAGCATCAGTCTATTGTGTGGCAGGACCATCACCTAAGGTCTACTGACTAGAAGGTGCTGCCTTTACTAGACCTTTAGTCAGCTCACATGATCATGGTAATAGCTGTCCCATCTCTATAGGCTTTTTCTGAGTTTGGACAAACAGGATGCATTGTGGTCTAGCTGGGGTACAAATAACACCATATAAAAAACATAATGAACAAAAGATTTTTGCACCCAAGCTAGACCAGAATGCTCCATGTTCACCATCTCAGAAAAGGTCTATGTAGGTAGGGTGTCCCTACAGTACTACTAACATGACTGACTCCTGTCTTTGGGAGGGGGAACAAGAGACAGCACCATGCAGTGTTACCCTGCCTTCATATAACATAACCCTAACAGATGTTAAAGGTTACCCAAATTTTAATACTATAAAAACACGTCAATAAATAAATATTTGTATATTTTTGGTTATTGTAATTGTAATGTGGCATGTGTTTCTTGTAGATTTATTGAGCTATTAGATAGTGTCATTCATTACCTTCTTCCTTCCTGGAACTACACAGCTGGATCCTTCAAAGACCTTGAAGTAAGAATGAAAYATTCAGCCATCCATCTCTCCTTCCCACTTTTTAGACTTTTCCCATCCATCCACACTGCATCTTTAAGTTAGGTATAAAATTTTATCCACTACTTCCCCCACCCTCCCCACCCTCCCCACTCCTCTCAACCCCTCCCCCTCCCTCACCCTCCCCACCCCTTTCTGCACCCCATCCCAAGACAAAAAGAGATGAAATTGATTTTATAACTGTACATTAATTTTACACTTCTGGTCTTTATAATGTTTTCTTGATTATTTCTCAGGCTATAAGGCAGCTTCTTCCACTGTCCCGTTACAGAAATAATCTAATAGARAAGTTCCTTAAAGAATCTCAAACAAGGTGAGCTACTTACTTTTGTAGGATTATCATTAGGCAGGGCACCTGTATACCTTTACTATTTACCATTACCTTGGTAACAGTACAATGTAATAACCTGGGTTTTTTTCAAACAGCGCACCTCCACGAATGCCCAAACTGTTTATAAATCGCCGCCTGGCTGCTGAGCACAAGGCAGATCCTACACAAGACCCTGAAGGAAAGAGAACCATATTCCACCAGGTATTTGACATCCAATCTTATTTATTCCTAACATGAACTTGACAGTCATAAAAAGATTTTATTTTGTTGCTGTTTCTATAATATTTGATTGCTTGATAAATTACAGTTATACGAAGGTTTACAACCAGAGAAGTGTGGCGTCAAGTTAGATTACAGGTAATGTCATTGTTATTTACGACAAGCAAGAGAGCATAAATAAAAGAGGGAAACTTATTAATGGCACCCGCCATGTAAATTCCCAGTTGGGCTATTTTTAGTAACCGGATGCAGTTTAAATTCACCTTACCCTACTCCCGTGCATCATCAAATTGCTACGCGTCRTGGTTTCCTACGCTCCTCTCGTATTCTCTCAACATCCCGCGTGTTTTGATCAGAGTATCAAACACGGAAAATTGTTTTTGATCTGTTAAATTAAAAACAAAACGGAAATAACACACATGTGCAAGTTGATGACGCACCAAGACATCTAATATCATTTTTTTGTGTGTGTAGATGGCCTGGTCGCTATGATCAGTGGTGGGAATGTAAGTTTTTATCAGAAGGAATTATTGATCAAGGTGAGTGGCAATCATTCAGTATTTATGCACTTCTCTGGTTAATACAGTAATTTTCTGTCTGTCTGTCCATCCACCTATCGATCCATCCATCCGTTTGTTTGTCCATCTTATCTAGTACCCATCCATTTATTCATTTATTCATCCATTCATCTGTCTGTTTGTCTGCTAATCAATTTGTATGTATTTTAGGTGGTGGTTTTCGTGACTCCTTAGCAGATATGGCAGAAGAACTTTGTCCATGTTCAATGGATGACCCAATGCCTCTGGAATTTTTTGTACGGACACCCAACCAGGTACGTCTGGTACACAGGTAGCCCAAGACTTGAAAACTAAGCCCAATGTGCATAACTGGTCAAGGATAGATGAGCAGAGCTTTGTTTGAGAAAGAATGGAAAATAATGGGGGGGGCTAAGCTGTTGCCTTGTTTTTGCACTTTTAAAATATTAATGTGTATGGAGGGGATATTGATGTGTGTGTGGGGGGGGGGGGGGGGGATATTGAGGTGTGTGTGTAGTGGGGTGAATAATAATGTGTGTGTGTGGGAGGGGGTGGGGGTCTACATCTGACCTATCTATGCAGTCAGGCATATTGGATGACACTGCTAGCCCAACTTTGAAATAGAGATTGACGAATCACTTTAAGTTACAAACACTGACGTCATCTTTTTATCCATTGGTTATAGTTGCTCGATTCATCTAGTGTGAACAGAGACACATACATACCATCACCATCGTGTAAAGAGTTTACGAAGCTGGAGTGGTTAGGGATGGTCATGGGAGCATGTCTGAGAAGTGGAAGAGAACACCTGGTAAGGAGTTTAGTTGGGATCCCTGTGGTAAAAATAGTGCCACAGGCATCCCAAAATATTTTCTAATATTTAGAACTATAAATTGTAAATATTATGTGCTTTATTAGAGCATTCAATTTATTATCATGTCGTCTCACATCTAGGTTGTTTCCCTTCCTTCGTTCGTCTGGAAGCCATTGGTTGGWGAGCGAGTATCGTGGTCACGTGACTTCCACACAGTCGATCTAGCTCAAGTCAAACTACTAGAAAGATTACAAAACGTGGACAGAGAAACCTTTGAGGCTAAATTTGCTGGGGTTTTGACGTTTACAGCTGTAAGTTTAGAAAAAGTATTTCAAAACTGCAAGGTCTTTTCTGTCTTTTCATTTCTTCGCCGCTACCACATAACGTATCACTTTGACTGTTTTAAAGTTGATTGGCRGAAGACAAAACAATGAGGAAACGGGCTGTGTCAGCATTGCTTGGTGTCTGTGGTTTTTGCCAGGTGAATGGCTGCCCCTCACTCTGCAACCGCTTGCCGCCAAGCATCGCTAGCTACTGGTCCTCAGCCCTTTCTTATCATTCATTTATAATTTAGTAATTTTTCTAATTGGAATATAATGAAGATAAAATGTCTAATAAATATGCACATTTATTTAGGTTCTGAGTGACAATACCCTGGTGAATCTTGTCCCTGGAGGACCTGAGCGATACGTTGAATATGATGAAAAAGAGTTGTACTCTAAACTTGTACAGAAGCATCGTATGAACGAGAGTAAGCAACAGGTAACTGGTACTAAACAAACCATAACATAACATACTTAAATCTTGTTTATAGACCTTTTCTGAGTTCGATAAACAGGATGCATTGTGGTTTAGCTTGGGTGCAAACAACATTCTATAACGCATGAAGAATAAAATATGTTTGTACCAAGCTAGACCAGAATGCACCATGTTCACTATCTCCGAAAAGGTGTATGATTATAAAGATGACTAAGGAAAAGTCAGGACTTAGATAGGATTCTCTTTCATAAGGTGAGCAGGACTAGTTCCAAATTTTTTTTTATGATGCTTCTGAAGAGATAGGGTATCCTTTTTTCAAATAAACATGTTTAAGGGTGTCCTTGACCATATTTAAGGGTATCTTTGACCATATTTAAGGGTATTCTTTATTCAAATAACCATAATTAAGAGTATTCTTGACCATATTTGCTTTACAGATCGATGCTCTAAGAAGAGGTCTTCTCAAGGTTGTACCCCAGGCTGTACTCGACTTACTAACGTGGCAGGAGCTTGAGAAGAGGGTGTGCGGGGACCCTGAAATAACTGTTGAGGCCCTCAAGAAATGCTGTAAGTTTTCTCCTTAATAATGCAGTTGTAATGCTCAGTGAATTCATTGAAGTTGTGGATTTGCTTGCCGGATTTTGCCGCCCTGCCCTTATCTTCCCTGTCCTTTCAGTCCTGCCCTGCCCTGCCCTGCCCTGCCCTGCCCTGCCCTGCCCTGCCCTGCCCTGCCCTGCCCTGCCCTGCCCTGCCCTGCCCTGCCCTGCCCTGCCCTGCCCTGCCCTATGTTGGTATATAAAGTGTTTAATGCTTCTTTTCAGCTCATTAYGAGGATCTTTCATCTGATAATGACCAGCGCGTGAAGGATCTTTGGCAAGCACTTGAAAACTTTACCAACGGTACGTTATAAAAACCCTTCTACTTATTCCTATGATTTTCAAACAAAAAATTCCAAATTCAATCTGTCAGTAGATAGGTTATATTTCGTTCATCTTGAAAGCCTCTTGGTGCGAACACCTTCTAATCTTTAACATGTGCTAATTATTATTWTTCTTTTATTCCAGAGGATCGTAGTCGTTTTTTACGTTTCGTGACAGGCCGTAGACGCCTGCCAGCACCATTGTTTATCTGTCCAGGAAGAAGGTATCAAATACCATATTACTCGTTATAAACCCTTTATAGTTTACTTACAATGTTCAAGTTTGTAACTGTTGAATGGTTTGAATGGTTATTGATGGTATTTTGTTTTCCAGTAATACAGAGGTTGACTCCCTACCTGAAGCAGCTACTTGTTCTAGTACGTTATTCCTTCCCAACTATTCAAGGTAATGATGCACTTTGTTCACTAGTCTATCCCAACATTTCCTACTCCTACACTCAGTATTCCTTTTTCGTTGGCTGGGCATACCCGTGATGACGTCATGTTGATAATGAAGTCATTTTAATTACAAATGGGTTAATTCCTTCCCAACTATTAAAGATAATTATGCACTTTTTTCACTAATCTATGCCAACATTTTTAACCCCAATACACTGCTATTCCTTGTTCTTGGGTGAATTAATGACATTATTTTCATATTGATAAGAATTATTTAATATTCCTTGTTCTTTAGTGTATATAATATGCATATCAAAATATAATGACGTCATTTCAGTTGATAATGACGTCATTTCAATTACAAGTGGGTTAATATGTATATGTCATACCTTCGATGACATAACGATATTATGACGTCATTTTACATCATAATGACGCTACATATTATGCATTATATATTAATTCCATAGTGCATCACAATGACGTCACATGTTACAAGGGCCTGACATGAATGTCATGCCCGCGATGACGTAACAATCGTATGACAACATATGACGTCACATAATACAGTGATGACGCCGCTGTTATGACGTCATGTTTTCATTGTTTCCTTTTTCAGCCCCAAAGTAGCGGAAGAAAAAATACGCTACGCTGCTTATAACTGCGTTGCCATAGATACCGACGTGAGCCCATGGGAAGAATGAGTTAGTAAACTACGGATGAACTTCCGCTCTGACGAATCGATAATAACTGAATACAACGAAATGGAAATGTATTGGAAACCTAAGGGAGAAACTCCTTTTAAAGATAATAATCACCAGCTGGTTACAGCGTTTTTCAGCGACACGCGCTGAATCGCGCAATTTTGAGGTCACGACGAAGTAGACTTTGGTAGACGTCAATCAAGGTGTTTCCATGGCGACATTCCACACGCACGTGCCTTTGAAGTCTTTGTCTTCCGACAATGCTGAGAAACACTTTGATTGACGTCCACCAAAACTCTATTTTGTTGCGACAGAAAATTGTACGAGTTCGCGCGTCCGACTGAGAAGCGCTGTAGGAAGTTCAACTGCAAGCTCTCTGGCCTATAATAACCAAACACTTTAGCTACCAAACACACGACTTTTCGTGAAGGACACTAACATAAATGCTTACTTAAAATATTATGACAAGCTAATATTATTATGTTAAACAATTTAATGCCATTTATAAAGGGCTTTTTTTACTTTGGAAATATATAGATATATTTTATATGGAAATAAAGAAAAGCATCCTTGACACGTGACTTCAAGTACGTTTTTCACGTGACTAATTGCGTTTTCTGTTTCTTCGTAAAAACTGAAAACTTTATATGTGAGTAAAGGGATTGATTTGCGTTAGTCATCACTACTCGCTACGTCATAACTCGTCACGGGATTATTTCATTACACTGTTTGTCACGATTACGCATATTCATTGCATGACGTTATAATTTCTTGCGTGGAGTATGTACAAGTATTTCACGTGACTAGAGAGGAAATTGCATCGTCTGTCACGTGATTGCGACTCAGTTTGAAACGTCATTAAATATTTCCTTACTTTTGGTACACATTTTTATTGCGGACATTTTTCCGAATGAAACCAACTTTTTCTTAGCATTCGATCTTTTTTTAGCAATATTTTTTTGTGTGTGGTGAGGAACCAACAGATGATGACATTATTCGTAATCTTAAAGAACACCAGCCAAGTAAACGAGCAGACTTCGCGGCATCATTCAACAGACCAATCTGCTGGCGCATTTGGTTGGCACCACACCGTATCCAAATAGGCAAGACTACTTCCCTAGTACGCTATCGTTTAGACTGCGGTCAAAAAGTCCGTTGTGCACAATGCGGGAAGCRCTGCGGGTATTGCGTAAAAACCTACACTCATTTCACGATCCGATTGTGTTACCTCGATCCTAAAGGGTGGCATTGGTTGAGGCATTAATTCAAGATGGATGGTTCTGTCAATGATACACGTATCAACCTCTTTCGGTATTGCCAAATAAGTTACCTTGATCTTAATCTAATGCTGACCATACTGACTCAGTAGTCAAGACAACAAGCCTCCCTAGCGGCACAAGGGGGTGGTGGAAGGGGTCGAGGGGGGAGGGGGCGCACTTTTTATTTTGCCTCCCCTCTCCCACCCCTCTCCCACCCCTCTGCGGCCTCCGTTTACCTTAATCGCAGTCTCCTTGCGACGCTTCGAAGGCTTCTGCCATAAAACGGAAAAAATCAAGCACTCGTTATAATCTTCAGTTTGTAAAGATCAATTGTAATTACTTTGATTTCCTTTTTAATCATTTTTTGATGTTGTTAAAGAGATTATTTTTCTGTTGAAATAACTGTGTAGCAGTAGGGTCAAATCTGTGTACGAGTATTAAATACCTTTGTACTACCAGATATGTCAGCGAAATATATAGTCTGATTTTACCTTTGATTTCTTGTGGGGGGAAAGGTGGGGGAGAGGGGTTGAATTGGAGACTTAAATATTAGTAAATAACTAATTAAATCTTTGCTCGCACAGCGCATGCGCAAGCTAAAAGTAGTATCATTTTCGTTTCCTGAGCCTGAGAGCCTCGGTCGGCGGAATTCCGTGTTAATGCATGACAACATTATGATCAGGCATATAGTTTGTCATTTGCATTGCTTAATTTTTGATCAAGCTAATATTTAAATTCTCGTTATGTGACATCTGATTTCTCTGCATTATGTACATGTAATACACGTTATCAGAATATTTTATTATCTGATCAGTTTTGTTACATTAATAATTTGTTTATCATCGCGTGATATCATCGCTATCTGATTTATCTGCATGTCACCCTTCGTTGCCTTGGTCATTGACAGTAGTGATCTAACCATGCAAAACATTCATTCAACAAACGATATTGACGTGACCCTGACGTGACACCTGATTGGGTTTATAATACAAATCTATTCAAAATCGACTATTAAAGATCTTCAATCAGTTCTGTTCAGTTGAGTGTCTTTTAAAACGTTTGTTCGCCATAATGAAGCTCGTTTATTTTGTCCTTTTATTTATCTCTCTCTACCATTCCTCAGGTAAGTGCTTTGCTATCCTCATGTTTGAACTGTTATATTTACTTATAATTTAGGAGTAAAATCCTTTATTCGTACTTTGAGAGCCAGATTCTTTAGAACCTAAGGAAACTATTCAAAGTTGTCAAGTACATTTTTCAATACTTCCCGACGAAAAACTATTTGGTTAAAATAAAACATAATTTCCCAAAACTAACTCACCTCATAATTTTAATTAAATAAGCCACAAGAGGTTTCAAATCAAATCAGGATTTTTTTCCCACGAAATATCTAAAAAATGTGAAATCATGCATTTTGGTCTAAGTTCTTCATTCATCTCGTTTTTTTTATAGTCAAACATCGATATTTTTCAATTATTTAGGCTTCGAAATGCTTCCCGACCCTATCCTTTAATGCCATGGTTTTAACCAACTTAAAAGTTGTTGTGCGTCACTTCAGTTATCGTGACAAAACAATTGACGCAACAAGTATGTTTGATGTCATAGAACATGTCTTGACATTTGAATTATATGAAGCAGAAAATTCATTACCTGTTTGCCTGCTTGCCTGCTTGCCTGCTTGCCTGCTTGCCTGCTTGCCTGCTTGCCTG